GTTCATGTAATATCCCTTTCAGCTTCAATAGGACTGTTTACAATTTAAAATGCTTATTTCTCAGGGATTGCTTAAAATTTTTAAGTTGTGGGGTTTTCATTAGTAATTAGCTTTCACTACAATCTTTCACACAAATTATCTTGTAATTTATGAAGCAAGAAGATGAGTAAATAGGCTCAGATTGTAAACATCTAAAATGTGTTGGTAATTCAGAGTGCGTTTTTCTCTGAATACCTTTCGTTTGAGCCTTCTTCTTTAGACTTAAGTTAGATCATTTTTAGTGTTACTGGCTCTCTCTGCTCAGAAGTAGTGACTGTTTTTTGTCTTGGCCAACTAATGCACATGATTTGACCCTCGATCTTTACCTGGTACTTGTCAAGTACACCTGTGAACAGGTCCACATGTTATGTGTGAATTCAAGAATAATGAATTGCCTTAGATGAGGCCTGGAACTGAAATTCAAAGTGCTCATCATTGCCAGCACCCCTCTCAGACTCACGTGTGCCACATGGGGATAGGCGAGCTGTGTGTGCAGCACTGAGCAGCCTCTGCTTGTTCACCTGTGACGACAGGAGCTGGGACCCGGAACGGGTGGCGACTACACTCCCAGGAGTGGAACGAAAGATCATCTTAGCACCAAGTAATGGCTCCACGTCTGCTGAGCTGAAGAATCTGCAAGTGTTAAGCAGCCTGTACAGGGCACGGCATTTAAATCTTACATCGAGGGGCCAGGTGTTATCTGGCTATGATCAAGTATTCTTTTGTTTTGTTCTGTCAGCTGTGGAAATCTCCAAGTGCCTAGGTTGCAGTCTGTTCGCATAATCCAGATGGCTTTCTAGTTTCACAGATACAGACGGAATGAAGCACACAGGCAGATGAGGGGGGTGTGTGTGTGGGGGGGGTGCTTCATTGTTTGCAATAGGGCTTTTCCCAAATAGCTTTAGGTAAGCCAGGTTTTGTAAGATTACCTCATCTTAATCTTTGCGGTGCCTTTATTCTCTAAAGGAGTCCCTTTGTGATGTGGACGGTTTTTGTGACAATAATACATATCCTCCTGCAAAGTAATTTAAAAAAAAAATCTCAGTACAACAAATTTTCTTAAATAGAGCCACCCACTTGGGACCCCTGAAGACCAGTTCAGTATTTGCTTTTGGCCTGAAGAGCTAGTTCGTCCCTGGGGAGCTGGCCTCTGGAGCCAGATGGGCTGAGCTGGAATTCCTGGCTCTGCTCCCTGATGACACTTACCTCTCTCTGCCTCAGTTTCCTCCGTGGTAAATAGGAAACCAGTGATCATTGCTTTATAGGTTGTCACGAGGATTAAGTAAACAGTAGAGGTGAATGCTGAAATCACCGCTGGACTGCGGTAGCAGGTGCTAAAGGGATGTCCGTCAGTATCTGAGTGCTTCAGAATGGTCTTTTGTTCCCTTGAAAGAGAATAGGCGGTGGTGGGAAAGGCTTACCTGGTCAGAGGAGTTTTATTACCTAGTTCACATGAAGCTATCAAGGAAGTAATTTAGGCTGGAAGAACATGGTAAAAAACAAAAAAACAAATTAGGAAGCTCAAATGCCAACTTTCTAAGTTCAAGGTGACTGTAACAGAACTTCCAAGTCTTAGTGGCTTATAAAGTACAGACTTCAGTTTTCTCACGTGTCAGGCAGACCTGTGTGCTCAGGCTGCCCCTGCAAGCAGTTCCCCTCAATGTGGGGGTTCAGGGACCCTAGCATGTGCCATCCCTCGGCTTTGCCATGTTGAAGTTCTTCACTTCAGCTATGAGGATGCGGGAGAGAGAAAGAGGGGGCAGAGAGGAGAGGGGAGAGAGGGAGAGAGAGAAAGACAAAGGGAGGGTAGAGAGAGGGGGAGAGAGGGAGGAGGAGGAGAGGGAAAGGAGGAGGGGGAGAAAGAGACAGAAAGAATCAATGAGTGAATGAGATTGAATGAGCCGAGGATCTTACAAAGGATCATAAGGGCCAAGCATGAAAATGGCAACACACCATTTCTGCTCCCATTCTATTGGCCAGAGCTAGTCACATGACTCCAACCTACCTTGGGGAGGAGGTGGGTTGGTTCTGGGAAGTCAGTTCTCCTTATGTGCCCAGTAATAAGAAACAGGGTAGAGGAGTATCCAGGTCACTTCTGGCACAACTGTTAACCATGTAACACATTTTATGCTAGTGGCAGATATTTTATATTATTAATCTGTGTGTACACGTCACTGTAAACTGTTTCTGAAACTCTGTGTAATGCCAGGATCTGCAAAGGACCAAAGGGAATATCCAATTATTATGTTTCTTTCTTATTTTCGAAATTTTCAGGGAGTCAGGAAGTCTATGGAGACATCGACTTCTGAACATTTATTGCTGTGCAGTTGGCCAATAAGCAAGGACTTTCAGTGAAGGCTCCTGACGGGCAGGTTCCTGTTAATGAGAACGTTTTTATGCTTTTTATCCTGCTGGTGGTCAGTAAATGACAAAAGGCCAAGAAGTTAACGATCCTGTTGTGATTGGAATTACATGGGACAATCTTAGAGTGGAGATTTTTGAAAAACTGCTCTTAATAAATATGGCTCAATATTGCAACTGTTATTTATACTAAGCTGTGGTGGGAGGGATGATGGCAGCTGTGTGTCTTCTATCATCAAAGAAAGTGACTTACTCCTGTGGGTTTATTAATAATATTTCACTGGAGCAGTTCCTTTGAATCACATTTAACCTCTGCACAGATCGAACAGTTTATTGACGAGCCAACTGGGGAGTTTATAGCTATATGGACACACCTTGGGGCCATGCTTAGCTAAGCTTCCGGGTTAATATATTCCTCATGTTTTGCAATGTTTTATACTTCTGTGGATTGATTTCCAATCCCATTTTTTCTGCCAAGGTTCAGATGTTTAACACAATTGGGAATCAGTGTAATGCAATGGCTGACCACGTGGTCTCCAGGAGCAGACTGAGTGTGGATCCCAGTTCTGCCACCCAGTCACTGTGTGACCTTGGGCACTTCCACTGTCTGCTATGGTTGCCTAGGCGGTTCTGGTAACAAATACCAGACTAGGTGGCTTAAACCACAGAAAGTTATTTTCTCATAATTGAAGTCAGATCAAGGTGTTGGCTGGGTTGTTTCTTCTGAGGCCTCTCCCTTGGCTTGTAGATGACCGTCGTCCTGTGTTTGCACGTGGTCTTTACTCTGTGCACGTCTGTGCCCAAATTTTCTTCTCTTATAAGGATGCTAGTCACATTGGATTAGGGCCCTTCCTAATGACCTCTCCACATTCTGAGTACTGGTGTTAGGACTTCAGCATAGGAATTTGGGGTGGATACAGTTCATCTCATAATAGGCAGTTAGCTCTGCCCGATCTGCAAAATGGGTTTATAAAAGTGCTTTATAGGGTTATTGTGAGTATTCAAAGAGATACGCATACAAATTGCATAGCATAATACCTTGTATATAGTGAGCACTCACTAAACAGAAATATTTTTATTATAATCATTAATCTTATATGTAGTGGTGCCATCTGTCCCAACTGGGAGGTGGTTGTATGCTCAGCCTTTTGGTCACGGAGGCCTGGGATTATTGTCGCCTTCCTTGTGCCCCCTAGCATTGGAACAGGCTGCCTTCAGCAGAGTGACAGGGCAGGAGCCCCGATGTTGTGATCAAGGGGATGGGCGTAGATTCTGGGCTCAGGGTTCTGAGTGGTCTTCTTTGGTGCTGGCACCATCGATGGCTGTGACATGCTCTCAGGTGTCCCGGTTCCTATAATGGCCTGCCCAGAAGTTTTACTAGACCTAGATAAGCAGTCTGTCTGTGTCAAGGGCAAGAGACTGAGGACTCGTCACATTGTTAGGGGAGTAACTGTAAAATTACAGCAGTAGGTCACTGACTGAAAGAATTATCCAAGTCCTGCAGACGATTTTTAAAGAATGCTGTGTGTAAAAGAGGTTAGCATCCCCGTGCTTGTAGCTCTCCCACACAGTTCCAGGCTCATGAAAATAGGTTGAATTCTACAATGTTGATATTGTGGCAAGTTTTCCTCTCAGGCCTGTTATCTAAATTCCTGGCTTTTTTATTTCCAACTGACATACATGTTCCTTCTTTTAAAAAAGTGTGGCTGTAGTCACAGCACAGTCACAGCTCGTGTTAACCATGAGCAAGCACGGTTCTCTGTGGGGTGAGAGAAGGAAGGTCAGACGGCATGGGCTCTGTGGGAGTCCGCTGTCCCAGGAGGACACTATGCTCGCCGGCTGAGAGCAGCTTGGGGTGTTGGCGGGGAGCCCCGGTGCTGCCAGGGCAGCCAAGTCCACGGTGGTGTGCATCGTCCAGACTGGATCCACGCAGTGCGTCAGCTCCCGGACGCCGCTCCCGCTGCCCGCCTCATTAGCTTTTCTTTGGGGATGACTGTGAAGTATTTGTCTTTTAATAAAAGTTATTAAGTAGTGAGTATGAAGATTGTCACATATAAACACATATCTAAATATGCATTTATATGACGTAATTCCAACTGACCATGAAATAATAGGTTTAGTATTCTTATGAGCATAAAGTCTAAAACACATCCTTCCTAGGGATTGGTGGAGCATAGAATTAAGTAATTGTTTCAGTGTTACCTAACTTTTTGTCTACGAGTCTAGTTACCTTTCTAGTAGAGAAAACCCAGCAGTGACAACAAAAATCCATCCCTTTCGATGCCTTCGCATGCATTTCCACTGCCCCACAGGCCTCCACCTTCTAATGCCAAATCATCCCATTGTAAAACCCGACTCCACACCGTCTGCATTGTTAGTCATACCTCAGTCACTGGGAAAACAACAAGGTTGCTGTTCCATTGTTAAAAGAAAACCACGTGGAGAATAATTGACAACATCTCTGACTAGTCCCCGCATACGAGGGCATAGTTATTGCTGTGTTTCTTCCTTGGTTCTTTACTCATGGGTCTCCTTTGTAAACGTATTCTGAAAATGTGCCTTTTTATTTTTCATTGGTTTATTTTCATTCTTTTTTGAAGGGAAGAGCAAGTTAGTACCTTGTATCAAAACATCAACCTCGTGGAGCCGAGACTGGTTCAGCCGTACGAACACGTTATAAAGAACTTCATCCGCGAGATCAGACTTCAGAGCACGGAAATGGAAAGCCTGGCCATTGCGGTGAAGAGGTATGAAGTTCTCCCTTTCTCCATGGCACATGGGGCCGTGACCCGGCTCTCTGACCTGGGGTCACACGGGCTGAGCGGCATCACCACGCGGTAGAGCGGAGGACTTCCTGATCCGCGGGGATCTGGAGCCTGCTGAACTAAGCCAGCACGAGGGAAGTTGGTCAGCAGTACTTCATAGGGTCAGTCAGCAGTCCGTCAGCTGGTCACTGGGATCCCGCCATTTAAATCCTTCAAGGCCGTGATTCCATACAGAACACTCCGGAGGGATTTGTTATCTTCTATCTAGCCACTTGAAACATATGGGGAACTTTTCATCCAGAGAGACAGGTGGGGCTCCGTTTGAAGCCTGGCCTGGTCACCGACTGGCGGGTGACCTTGGGCAGGTTCCTTAATCTCCCTGAGTCTCAGCTTCTGCAGCAGCAGAATGAGGCTGCAAACATTCACCGCCTCAGGGGGTTGAGACTCAATAGAAGCCGTGGTGGGCGATGCCCTCATGCTGGGCCCACCGCCGCTGGGTGCTCGCAGTGCGCTTTCCCTCTCTCTGGCCCTCCTCACCCAGACCGAATGAAAACCTCCGAGCTGCCAGGCCCTTAGTCACACAGCCTGAGTGAGGAGGGCATGGCTGGGCTCACAGGCTCTCTCACTGGTTTTACCAGCCACCCAGTGCAAAAGAAGACCCCGCATATCAGCCTCTGCTTCGTGGAAGGACCACACTCCTTTGGCCTGTGTTGGGAAAGAAGGCTTTTCTTTTTTTTAATTCTCACCTGAGGATATTTTTCCATTTATCTTCAGATAGAGTAGAAGTGGGGTGGGGGAGAGAGAGAAAGAAACATCGATGTGAGGGAGACACATTGGCTGCTCTAACAGCTGAGCCAAACCGGGCAGTTCCTGGTGTGCCCCACGGAGGCTGCTTGTGGCTGTGTGTTCCTCCAGCAGCTCCGAGCACGCGGCCACCTCCGGTCCTGTCAGCGGCCCTTTGACAGGATGCCCCCATCTCCATGGGGTATGCAGGGCTGCCCCCCGTCTCTGTTCTTTCCTTCAACACAAGGATGAAACACTCCAGCAGACCCTCTGAAGTAACTGAAGTGAGTTAAAATGTAGAAGAGGAAATGTTTCAGAATGCGAATGTTCAGTAGGACCACTTTCATAGCCCCAGAGTCGTGCGCCAGTCGAACTGTTCCCAGGGGTTTCTAAGGAACACGTTCACTTCCTGAGGCCGATCCTTTGCCTCAGGTTTGCTAGGGCCTTTCAGTGGGATGGTCGTCAGAACTGGAAATACGTAAGCCCAGATTCGCCTCCCTTGAGAGGTGACTAGCGGACACACACAGTGAGTTTTTATTTATTTATTTATTTTTTATCCTCACCCGAGGACATTTTTCCATTTTTTGTTCAGATAGAGCGGGAGGGAGAGAGAGGAAGAGAGAGAGAGAGAAACATCGATGTGAAGGGACACATCGAGTGGCTGCCACCCGCACGACCAACCAGGGCTGGGGACAAACTGCAACCGAGGTACGTGCCCTTAGCGGGAACCGAACCTGGGTCTCTCTGTACCGCAGGCCGACGCTCCAACCGCTGAGCCAAACCGGCCAGGGCCACAGTGAGTTTTTAGAGCATCCAGTGAGTATCTTTTAAAATAGACAAACTCATGTATACACACAGGTACACATACACAGATGCACACCAAGATATGCAGGGGAAAACACGCGTGTGCGTGTGCATGCGCCCCCATGACTTCTAAGGTAGTGCCGTTTAGACCCATCAGGAAGAAAAGGGATGGCGTTCTTTATGTTCTCATTACTGGCTCGGCTGCTGTCTGCTGTGGAGTACATCATGTGCTACGTTACGCTGTGCTTCTCCCCCTTCCGTGCTCTCTGGGTGGGACCCAAAGGCAGGCTCTGTCCTGAGTGCCGAGCCTCCTAAGGCCCCTCTCTCAGCTATCGGAGACCTCACTGAGGCGTTTGTATGACCACTGTGAACATGTCCTTACGTTCCTAGCTAAGGACCCTCACCTCTGCTTTTTGGTTGGGGGAGGGTCTTTTTACTCTGCATTTGCACCTGAAGAATGGGTTCCCAGTGTTCTGGTGGGGGCCCTGGACTAGGGTACAGTGGACATTTCCAATACCCTAGGCGTTTTACCAGGAATTAGGAATTGCCGGGGCAAACACTGTCATTATAGCCTAAACCACCAAAAAACTATAGAAGTTGCTCAGAAGTGAGAAAAGCAGAAGGAACACATTCCCAAGCAGCACCAGGTACCCGGGTGTTTGGGACTGGATGTCTGGAAAAACTGGTCACCACAAAGGAGAAATTTGGGGCACAGCTCTTCACAGTTTCAGAGTTCCCTAAAAATAAGCAAACCCAAGCCATAGTTGCTGTGGTGACACATAATCCTAGGGTTCAAATTCATAAACAGACTAGAACTCGCTGATTTTCCATATGAGGTTAAGGTAACCTTGGGCAGGCTGTAAGGTGAGGAGGGAGTAAACAGGAGCAGAAAATGGTAGAAAGTCCCTCAGAACTTGACTTCCACCCCTTGCTGTTTGTTTGGAACTTTTGGTAGAAATTAAACTAATGCCCCAACGAATTGCGTTGCAAGGGAGTAGGTTGGGAGCGAGTAGGATGGCCTAGCAGACGCGATCACCCTGGAGGACAGGAGGCTGCTTTCTACTCAGAGCCTGGTCCCTACTCTTTATTGACAGCATGTCATTGACCCAAGTGAACTGACTCTGAGTCTCACGAGGGCTACTTTCATGTCACTCACACTCTAGTTGAGTAGGCAGGACGTGTGTGTGGAGGAAGATAACTGGACGTACAGCTGTGAGAGAACAATGGATAACTGAGGGCTCACTCTGAGGCCTCAGGCATCGTAGAGCGACGGGTGTCCCGTGGTCAGCAATGCTACGTAAAGCTGTCCTGGAGCTCTGCTCAGCAGAGTTTTCCCATTTCTCACTTTTTGGCAAATCATTATGTTCTGCCTCCATAAAATGTGATTCATTGATTACATTAATACATGAAATATTTTCTAAAGGGTAACTGTATCTACATTTATCATTTTGAGGAACTGATTACTAACAATTGTTGAGATCCGTCCATTTGAAATTTCGAAATTACATCTAACCATCTCTTTGCTATGGAGTTCGTCCCCGCACCCCTCCCCAGGGTTCTCGTTCAGTTATGACAGCATAAAGGATTTTCAGAATTTATTGACAGCCTCCCAGTGATTTCCTCTTTATCAGTTCTTTGCCACAATCTAATTTAATGCCATTGTATCCAATCTATTCCATTTATTTAATATCTAATTTTCTTCTCCTCTTAAACGCAAATGGTCAAATTGCTAACCACATTTTATCATGTGGAAGGCACAGTGATTATTATTTTAAATGCTGTGTTTCTCCTCATTTGTAAAATAAAGGGCTTGAAATAGATTAGGTTGAAGTTTTCATGTTACAAGTTCAAGAGTATAACGAAAAGTTGTGCCTCACCCCCTTGACTTTCAGAGCCCAGGACAAGGCAGCCATGCAATTGAGTGAGTTGGAAGAGGAAATGGATCAGAGGATTCAGGCTGTGGAACAGAAGACGCGGAAAGACGTGAGTGTGGCATGATGCATTCATTCATTCATTCATTCATTCATTCATTCATTCAGTGAGGCCTGTGGAGCACCTTTCATGGGCTGGGCACCAGACGTCCTCTCGGTGCAGCAAGTTCAGGCTCCCGCACAGGTTCCCACTGAGGGCATTTTAGTGGTGGTGGTTTGGGGTGGTAGATAGGATAAAGAGAGAGAGAGAGAATAAATAAGGAGTCAAATAAACAAAGCTGATAATGTCAAACAGTGACAAGTGCAGTAAAGAAACAGCGTGTGTGCCTGGCCAGTGTGGCTCAGTGGATTGACGTCGTCCCGTGGACTGAGAGGTCCCAGTTCGATTCCCGGTCAGGGCACATGCCCAGGTTGTGGGCTCGATCCCCAGTAGGGGGCGTGCAGGAGGCAGCCAAGCAGAGTCTCTCACATCAATGTTTTTATCTCTCTTCCTTCCTCTCTCTCTAAGAAATCAATAAAAACATATTTAGAAAAACATAGCGTGTGTGGTAGACAGTGAGGGGGACAGGAGGCTGTTCAGGTTGGAGGTCCAGGGCCTCTTCAAGGAGGTGACATGAGAGCTGAAGGAGTCTGGGGGGAAGGCAGAGCCAGCCTTCTGTGGGGGAGGGTGGCTCAGGTGTCACAGGCCAGGCTTACTGCCCACTTCCTAGCTAGATTACAGCGAAATTCAAGTTCTCTCTGCAAACTCCGGTGTTTTATAATGGACTATAAGTTATAAATAAAAGGATCTATGGAACATACTTTAATTCATCATTACAGGAACTCTTATAGTTGAAAGTTGAATGTTCAGTGATTTCCATAGAAAAAGCAATTAACGTTTTTTCTTATAAAATATATTTGGGTGATTAAGGTTTACTGGAAATGGAAAATATACATATTTCTTTGAGTAGCTAGTGTTAGGTTCCATTTTTGGGAAAAACCTTTCATTTTCTTCCCCCCCCCCCCTTCATTTGTTCTGTTAACTCCGAGAGGCAGCAAAGCAGAGCGAGAAGGGCCTGTGTGCTGGCGTCCGTAGGCGTTCGCTTGCTTCCTGGCTCTGCCCTGCCTCGGCTGTAGGTGCTGCTGGAAAAACAACCTGACCTTTGTTGTCCCATCTTGAGAATGGGTTTCCGTTCCGGAAGTGGCCATATAGCTACAGTCACGTGGTGACTTCCGCCAACTGTGGGAGGAGACTTGGGCTCAGCCTTAGTTTGACGCACGAGATTTCTCACCTCTGGGATTTTGAAGAACTATTTAAATCAACCAATTTTTTTTTCCTTTCCTTTTAGGAAAAGCGCAAAGCTGAGGAAGCCCTCAGCGACCTCAGACGTCAGTATGAAACGGAAGTAGGAGATCTGCAGGTGACGATAAAGAAGCTGAAAAAGGTAGGCACGTGGCAGCTGGGCTTTTAGGGCCAGCCCCAGGGGTCAGTGTGACTGGCTTATTAGGGACTAAGCATTTGGAATCACCTTGGAGCAGCTGATGGAATCAGATCTCAAACTGAACTCCGCGGCAAAACTTTTGTTTAAGGAACCTGATTTCCTTCTATGCTTCCAAAGGCATCCTATCTTGAGCACAGATCTAATTGGTATTTCTGATCCCTTGAGCAGTTGTCCATCAAACCCCAGTTTTCTTTCTTCAGTCTTTACTAACCAAGTGCCCTCTGTTCCCACGTGTCCAGTGGACTGTCTGCTCATGACAGTGGTACTGTCTTTCCTGGTCACTGATCCTGTAGGTCTGCCCCCCCCCCCCACTGTGAGGTACATGGGAGGTAGTCACTGAATATTTATGAAATGAAATGAAATTAATATTCCCCTCTGTGTTGGAAGTTCCAGATCTCGGGTACCCCTGGTCAGTAAGAGGTAGGAGAGAACTTGTTGAAGTAGGAGCAAAGGTGCGAATGGGTTTTGGCCTTTGCTCTTTTTGGTTCCTAAGGAGTAGGGTGTGTTTCACTCACTGGAGTGTTGCTAGGTGTTTAACAAGGGGCTCTGGCTCTAGGGGCAGGGGAGGGAGAGATGTGTAGCATTCGCCAATTTCCATGGTATAAATACTCCCACCATTACCAATTTCAAGCTACCAAGTTGACATCCCTGAAGACACAGCTTGGGAACAGGTGCTTAAGACAGGCTCCCACCTGACCGGGCAAGTTGACTCCAGCATAGTATTGAACCCATTTCTTGCACTTGGATGGTCTCCATAGCTTACATTTTGGCTAACGTGAAAAATGACTACTTAAAAAAGAACCATCCCCGAAAGTGGCACTGTGAATTTAGGAACTCACTTTGCTTCTCTGGTTGTTCATGTGATAACCTTGAATGCTCCTTCCAGTGTTAGCATACAATGAGCTTATGTGATGATTTGTATTTTGTGGGCTATTGCAATTTAAACCTCTGGAATTATTAAGAATTCTCATAGTATTCTTGGAAAATTATTATCAATGTCAGCCTTTTATCTCATTTCCAGAGGTCATTAGACGGTACATGTGATGTTTGTATTACAGAATTGGGATGGATCAATCCCTTATTTACGCCAGAGTCACAGATTCTTCTAGTTGTTGTCCTTATTTCCATGTCTCCCCAGATCTTTAGACTTACAGAATGTATGCGAGAAGAGACACAGGAGTTTTCACCCTGAGACAGTGTATGATGAGGACCAAATAAATAGGCACTGAACAGTGAGAGTCAGGAGTGATGAGCCCTGAGTCCTCGTGGAGACTGTCAGTGCCTGCCTGTGACACCTGGGACCACTGGCTTCATCTTTCCAGTCTTTATATTCTCATTCGTAAAATGTGATTAATAATATACTGTCCTGCCTAACTGTAAAAACTTATATTTTATTGACTTTATTAAGCACTTTTTCATAATTTAAAAATTCTAAATCTTAAACTTTTCTTATTTTTTTTTAATTTTATTTTTTATTTATTTTTTTTAATCCTCACCCGAGGATATTTTTCCACTTTTTTGTACAGATAGAGTGGGAGGGAGAGAGAGGAAGGGAGAGAGAGAGAGAGAAACATCGATGTGAAGGGACACATCGAGTGGCTGCCACCCGCACGACCAACCAGGGCTGGGGACAAACTGCAACCGAGGTACGTGCCCTTAGCGGGAACCGAACCCGGGTCCCTCCGGACCGCAGGCCGACGCTCCAACCGCTGAGCCAAACCGGCCAGGGATTAAACTTTTTTTAAAAAGTAGGTATAAATGTCCTACTTTTACAGATGAGACATGAAGTTCCAGAGAGGTTAAATAACTTATGCAAAGTTGCACAGCTCACAAGCAATGGAGTCGCCTTTGCTGCACAGTTGGTGCTTCTTCATTTGTACCCGATGTCCTACTTGCTTGAGAGAGTTATTCTGCAAGAGGATGATTTATGTTGGGAGCATGTTAAAGGCTGTAAAGAACTATAGAAGAGTTTGCAAAGTTGTTATAGCTGCTACTACCTTATGCCATTGATTCTGAGAAACTCATTTTGCCAGTAGTTTTTCTTCTCTGGAGTTGACATGCATCTTGAAGTTAGTGGCTTTCTTGGTTGCAATCTGCCGTGTGTGGTCATGAAATAGTTGTGTGAAAACCTTCAGAGGATGCCATTTGGCAGCATGAAGAAAGTCAAGGGTCAGAGTACTTAGACTTTGACTTAGACGTTAGGGAATAAGGCATGCATTATGATCAGTGCATAAATATTCAATTAATAGACACCTGCAAATGCTCACATTTCCCACGGGGTGTACACTGTTGGTATGGAGGACACTTTTGTTGTCCATGTTATAGATGCTCCTGATTCAATAGAGCCTGGAAATACTAATGAGTCAACCAGCAAGCAAAGCTCATGTACGTACTTATATGGTTTTGTGTGCACCCATCTCTACCTTCACATCACACTGAAACATTATTAATTTCAGTCATTTGATGAGAATTTCCTGAAATCACTGTGAAGAAAACATAGGTGAAAATGACACTCACTCTGTTCTTAAAAATCTTAGTCTCCAGCAGGACAGAGCACTCATAAGTACGTGTTGGAGTTTGGCACCAGATGTGAAGTCTTGAACAAACACTCACAAATGATTATGATACAGGATAGGAAGTGTTAAGGGCAGATGAAGTCCTAGGTGAATATAGAGGTCCAGACTAATGTGCAGTGTAACGAGAAAGCAGGGATTGGATTGCTTAAGAGTTAAATCGTTTCCAGGAAGGGCTTTCTAATTGTTCCAGAGAAAATGTATTAAGCAATAAAACTCTTTTTTCAAAAGTTCAAATTATTTTAAACAAAATTTTAAATTCTTATGGATTATATGTAGTTTAATGACTTACAAAGTTGAATAATGTTTGAAAATTGAAGACTTCTAGAATTCCCATTTCTGTGTGCAAGGGTATTCCTAAACTTAACTGGATCAATTCTGAGTAAGTCTGTAAACACAAAACTTTCCTTTGCTCTTTCAGCTAGAAGAACAATCAAAACATGTATGTCAAAAAGAAGACGTGGCTGCCTTAAAAAAACAAATTTATGATTTATCAATGGTAAGAAGCACCTTTTCACTTACAGGGATACTTCCTGTTGGACTACTGTTCCGTAGACATAATCATGCAATTATTTCAGCATTCCCGGAACAGAAGCTTAAACAGAAATGAACACTATAGTTGGAGAAAGTCATTGACCTACCTTCAACCAAAGATTGTTTATGCAGGCTTTTTCTGTCACCACCCCCCCCCCCCCCCCCCCCCCGGTGTGAACACTTATATTTATTTTTTATTCCAAGCAACAATGGCATGGCCTTAGATTTTCAGTAGTTAACCCTGCATTCTTACAGCATCAACCTCTGGTCTATACACATGACTTCCTCGTTCTGTCTCTTTCCCTTCTTCTGCTGATCATATCTTCTAGCTTTCTATTGCCCATACTGATAGCATTTACATCCGTTTTATTATCACTCAGAATTTTTCAAAAATTTTGTTTTTAGGTTAACTCTGAGAGTTGAAAGGCAGTAACGAGCATTTCTTTTATTCTCACTGCAGAGTCAAGAAGGGAGGTAGCATGAGCTGGAATTGCGTTTCTTTCTCTCTTGATATTAGCCCTATGCTTCTCAAAAGAGAAGGTTCCCAACCTCATGGTTAAATGAATTCCCTTAATGCACCACCAGCTCCATGTTTTGCCACATCTTAGTTGGATCATGACTTTCTTAGAGAGTTGCTTGTTTTTCTTGGATTTCCTGGTTGAGATTTTGGTTTCTTGTAAAAAAACAAAAACAAAAACACCAAAAAATACCTCTGCCATTTTCATGATCACTGATGCCTTATAAATTCCTGTATCTTCTTCCCAGTGCATAGAATTTGTTTTTTCTTTCAAAATGTTATTTTGAAGTCCACAAATTTTTAGTTCTAATTGGGCTGATTGCTTTTTAAACTTGCTACCCATCTGTCATCTTGGAATTTGTGGTCATTTTAGGTGGCTGGTGTAGGATTCTTGTGCGGCCAGGTAAATAGAGCTGCTTACCTCAGGGCCTCTGCCCTGAACTGGTCTTCCTAGGAGCTCTGTGTGCGAAGCTGGCTGGAGACTAGGGGACCCCAGTCACCAGAATGAGTGGGCCATGGACATTCGAGAGACGCTTTAGCTTTCCTTATAGGAGTCATACAGTTTTTTAAATGAAAAGGCAGGCCCTGTGTTGTTGCTGCTGCAATCAACTCCGGCTATCCGCTGTTCCTTCCTAGGGTAAGCGCGGGCGTGGGCTAGAGGGGCAGGTGGCTTAGCGTATGTATCCGCTCACTCTCTGGGCTTCCGCCTGGCCACGGCCTCTTCTTGGTTCCTTGCAGAACCTTCCGCGTGCACTTCTGGGCCCCTTCCCGACTCTTCCTTCGTCAGCACGTTTCTGTCCAGTTTCCATTTTTTCAGAAATGTTTAAATCACTTGGCTACAGATGGGCCCCTCTTCCATTCTTTTCACTTTTATTGGTTTATTTTGTTGGTATTTCATGTTAATGGCATCTCTAAAGGGAAGGAAGACTAACTCATATGCTCAGTTGGCCTCCAGTGAATTTATTTTTAAGAAAAAAATTTTAGATACATTTTTTAAGTTTCAAAAATTCTTTAAGACAACCTTAGAGAATTCTAATTCCTTTAGAATTTCCCAAAATTCAAAAACATATATGTTACAGAATCTCTAACCACACTGTTTTATTTTTAAGTGCAAAACTTAAAAATGTTGGAAGATGGGATTTGTAGTAAAAAGTAGCCAGACTACCTGGTAATAGGTATATTAATTTCACAGAATTTTCGTCAGTGGTTTCATGGCTCTCGTGAAGTTAAACAGATGTTTAAATGTTTGGTTTCAGTGAATTCTCCAGTGACACGTCAAACAAAGGACATCATGACAAACTCTTGAATGTTGGAGTTTGGCACCAAATGTCAAATATTAAAAAAAACAATGAGCAACTTTGAGGATTTAGATTTTTAACACTTTAATACTTTATAATAATTTCAAATGACCTTGAATTGATAATTAGTTCTTTGAATACCATGTCGGGAAGAATTGTGGGTGGGTGAGAGCGACGCGTGGGGCATTACACTGCAGGACACTTCTTCCCTCCCTGGCACAGGAGCTGAGTCTCACGACCTGCACCTTCCTTTTCTCCAGGAAAACCAGAAAGTTAAGAAAGATCTTTTAGAAGCACAGACAAGCATAGCCTTTCTTCAGAGTGAATTAGATGCTTTGAAAAGTGATTATGCGGATCAGAGTCTGAATTCTGAGAGGTATGAAACTTCACATTTGTTTTTTTCAGTTTGAGTGGGATGTTTATTTAGGTAACCAGCCATGGGGATGAAGCTCAGCTTTGTAATAATAATGGCTTGTTTATTAACTTCACTGATATTGTCTTTGCTTTCTAAAGATTTTACTTTCAGTGTCAGCTTTCCTAGTGATTTTTGTGTGTGTGTGTGTGTGTGTTTTTATACAGATTAATTAGTTTCATTATTGACTGGGTGGGACAGCGCAGGGCTTAATAAATGTTTGAATTAACTGAGAGCAGAAGAGTAGACCTAACGTGTCAAGAGTCAGTGCTAATTAAAGGGCTTTGAAGGTAGAAATATTGGCTCCTCAATATAAGAAAAGGGAAAAGTAGATATCTTAAGCAAGTAATTTTATTTTGTTGTGCTTTAGTTTTGCAGTATGATATATAATAATGTACACAAAGAGACGTGTATTTATATGTATACACACACACACACAGAGGGATATGTAAAATGCATATATGTGCAAATATAAAATACATATATCTGCATGCACACATTTGCATATAAATGCATCTATATACATATGTGCATATGAAATGCATCTATATGCATGCATATACACACACACACATATGTACACTTGGGGAAATACCTTGTTTTTTGTTTGTTTGCAAACTTTAATCAGAATCAAGGTCTTGAAATGAAAAGCAGGAAAACATTGATTAATTATTTGCTATATATAGGCCCTTGAGCTAAATTAGGAGTTTTGAGTGTGGAGTATATAAAAAAGAAATGCTGTGCTTCTCTTTGAGAACTTGAAATTTGGTTGAGGAAGATCAAAAGCTAGAAGATTGCAGAGTTGACATAGAGCTGAACAGTGTCAGAAACAAGACCACCACTGGCCGTGCCACAGGGTGGATTCGTTGCCATGAGGTGGTAGACAACATGTTGATTTAGTTCAGAAGAGGTGAAGGACTTTACTAAAGGGGAGACGCTTGAGGTGACCTTGGGACGGGGAGTGGGTTTGTGTTGGTCAAGGGGGTGGAGGTAACATCAGCCAGTATCGAAGGTGCCACTGCCTGGCACTGCCCTAGGACTTACGAGTGTTCGCTCACTCAGTCCACAGAGTATCCGACGACACGGGGGTTTCCTTATCCCCATTTCACAGATGGGAAGAGAAAGTGTAGGGATGTTCCAGGTGCATCGTTAACCAATGTCGGAACAAGAACATAGGGACAGAGAAGACTGGTTTGGGGAAGAGTGGTCATACCATTTTAGCCTTATTAAGAGAGTGAATGGCCCTGGCCAGTTTGGCTCAACAGTGGGAGTGTTGGCCTGTGGACCAGAGAGTCGAGGGTTTGATCTTGGTCAAGGGCATGTACCTTGGTAGCAGTTCAGTCCCCAGCCCTAGTAGGTTATGCAGGGGGCAGCCAGTCGATGTGTCTCTGTCACATCGATGTTTCTCTCTCTCTCTTTCTCCCTCCCCCTTCCACTGTATCTGAAGATAAATGGAAAAATATCCTTGGGTGAGGATTTAGAGAGAGAGAGAGAGAGAGAGAGAGAGAGAGAGAGAATGGACAGGTTACTATGGACCAAATTTGATATCCCGAGAGTTTTGGAAGCTAGTTGAGGGGTTTGTCTGCTTAGAAATGGGGCTGAGGTGGAGTATGGGCTGGAGATGAGTGACTGGTGTTCAGAGTGGACTTTTTGAGGATGAGGCCAGGGCTTCATAGTAAAGCAACAGAGGAATCAGTGAGGGAGAGTTGGTAGTGAATGGAGCAAACCCCAACCTGAGGGTTCCTCTGTGGTTCAGGATGGGGGGGGGGGGCAGGAGTGGGCGGGGCGAGGAGAGGAGGAGGAATGGCGAGAAAGGAGGAGATAGCTGGGGCTGGGATTGTAGGAGGTTTGGGATGAGCAGAGAAGGGTCAGAAGTGAGAGAGCCAACCGGGAGAGGGGCTAGGAACAGGTCAGCGGTTCATTCCAGTGAGAGGCAGAGCCAGGTCCGGGTGGGGATGGAAGGGCTGGCGGTGCTGCGTGGGCGGGGCGGTGAGCAGCACCTTGCACAGGGAGGCAGAGGGCGGGTGTTTGTGGAGTCCCGAGGAGAGGAGGTGGCTGAACAGCGCCCCCCCCCCCCCCCCCCCCCGTGGGAGCACCGCTGAGGTGGAAACCGTGGTCAGGGGCACACGTCTTTGAAAGAGTGAAAGAGTCTGAGAGGGCAGGACGGAACACCTAATTCTCATGCAAACGTAAAATATAATTTTACAGGGATCTGGAAATAATCCGAGAGTACACGGAAGATCGAAATAGTCTTGAGAGGCAGATTGAAATACTCCAGTAAGTTATCATACAAAATGCTCATTCCATTTACATTGCATTTCTTTTTGGTGACTAAAACATGTGCCGCATGTAACAGCAGCTGGACCTGAGGGCTCGGTTCCACGTCCGTGTGGGCATCGTCTAGTGCGCTGCATTTAGCTGTCCGACGTTTCTAACCCAGATGCAGACACTGCAGTGTAATTGTCTCCAAGCCAGTGACATGTCCAGCGTGTCTTTATTACGCCTTTGTATAGAACAGCGCCCCAGCCTTCCCGACTCTCCCTGCAGCTCACCCGAGAGGTGGCCGCAGCACCAGACATGCAGCTCACCCTTTCACCGTTCATGGGGCTTGGTGAGGTGTATAATTTCTCTTAGGTTTTTAAAAAACCCTGTTGTTCACATTATATCTACTCTGTGAACTTCACAGCTGGGTGCAGTGGTAATTCCAGCCTCTCAAACCCTCTGCACAAAATCTCCCCTCTCCCGCCCTCTCCGTTTTCTACCCGTGCAGTGGTTCCTACTGGTTTCACTTCCCCCAAATGAAGTGAGATCAGGCTGGGCACAGTTTTTCATTATCTTTGAATGGCTGTTAACTCCCACCGGTGGCAATTACAGACCTGATGTCTTACCGTCATCCTATTCATTCATTCAGCAGATTCTCACTCACCACCTTTGTGGGTCAGGTGTGCTAGGAGCTGAGGGTCGGGTGGCAAGTAGCTCCCCTGATGGGGCCAGTTGAGGGAAGAAGACGGAGACTGGTCGATGGTTATAGAAATATAACATGCTGAATGAGAGGGGTGGGGCGGAGGGAGGGATGTGTACGCTGGAGAGCACGTCGGCCTGACCAGGAAGGCCCAGGAAGTGTTCCCAGTGGAACCGTCCAGTGAGTGCGGTCCGAGGGTGAATACGCCTTCAGTAGGGAAAGATTAGCCACTCTCCAGGGCAGAGGCTCTGCGATTATCCTCATTTCGTAGAAGACGTTGCCGAGGCTCTGACAGGTTAACTAACTCCTGTCAGTCCTTTCGTGTGGAAAGGACGTGCCTGAGTTGGGATTTGAACGCAGAGTCACCGTCGGGGCCTGTAACAGGTGCACAGCAGTGCCTGTGGCACAGCCCTGGGCCAGGAGTGGGATGCAGGAGTAGCCAGGAGCAAGTGTGGCATCACACACCACGTCCACGGGCAGGCTGTGTGCAGGGGGCAGAGAGCGGCTCTGGTGCTGGCCCGGGCCCAGCGTAAAACCTGTTCATGCAGCGGAGCTACCCGAGGCCAGAGCAGCCCCACGGAGCAGCTCATGCTTCCTAATGTGCCTTGAGATCTTTAAAGACAGGTGATGCGTGCACTAAGTAGTACTTCTGGTGACGGATTATGATCTAGTTTATGAGGTGTGAAGGGAAGAGGCAGAAAGTGGCAGGAGGTGGTAATTCCCTGTTCTGAACATCACAGCCTGAAAGATAAGTGGGGACATTTACTCCCACTGATACTTTCCCGTATCGATTTATCTGCTTTATTTATTGACTCTGCAGGACAGCTAACCGGAAACTGCACGACAGCAACGACGGCCTGAGGAGTGCCCTCGAAAGCACTTACAGCAAGTTCAACAGGTCCCTGGTACGCAGCAGAATTTCCAGTGCGCGTTCTGTCTCGTGGTAGCATATTTTGATGAAAGTCTTGTATGTTCTTAGGGGAGGACTTAAAATCACAAGAAGATATTCCATATAATATAAGGGGGCAACATTTTCTCAAATTAAAAAAAAAAATGCATGACCCCTCTAAGGAAATCAGTGCCTGGAGGTTAACCAGCTCTTTGTTGGACAGTCCAGGAAACCGGAGGAGAATGTGTGACCTGGTCTTGGCAGGGTTGTGGTGGAGTAGGAAGAGAAAGTGGGCAGTCCTGTGGAGGTACAAATGAAGTCTCTCGCGGGGAAGAGGAGGGACAGGGAGCTTCTGGCTAAGGAGTGTGTTCACACACACTGAGTATTCTTTATGGTAGTGAGATGATCAGAGTGGAGGCTGTGGATTTTACACCCTCCTGCAGAAACAAGCAAAACCCCGGACTCTGTGCCAGAAAGCCCCTTCTCCCAGCTTCAAGTTTGGGGTCCCAGTGCGTAGCTTTGGGTATGGAAGGGTTACGAAGCCAAATTATGGATTGAGAAGAAGGAGTTGGTACGTCATGGTCCTGGTAGACCTAAGGAAGCAGGTGCCTCTTTATGGCTTACGAGGTAGGGTGCAGACTTAATGACACAGTGAGGAGGAAGCACCATAGGCAGTTGTTAATTTTTCCCCCTTCATTTCTGTGCTCATGTTTGCTTATGTAGGACACCAAACTTTTAATTACATTGGAAGTTAACTAGTATACTACAGTTTAAAAAACATACATAAATAATATGCTTACATGGGTAACATAACATTACTTATGTATTGCAGCGCATAAATAACATATCGCCAGGGAATACAATTTCTAGGAGCAGTCCCAGATTTAATGGTCATTCTCCTCAACCTCTGGGCTATGACAGGTATGTTACTTATGTTTTGTTTGAATTCTGGATCAACACTGAAAGGAAAATAAATCTCCTTAGGGGTAAATTAAAATAATAAACTATATTTTGGGCACTTATTTGTATTAATACTTTTACTTTAAATGTTGGAAACAAAGCCCAGCTGGTGTGGCTCAGTGGTTTGAGCATCGTCCCAGAAGAAGAAGCGAGAGAGAGGTCCTGGTTTGACTCCCAGTCAGGGCACATGCCCAGGTTTCGGGTTTGATCCCCAGTAGGGGGCGTGCAGGAAGCAGCTGATCCATGTTTCTTTCTCACATTGATATTTCTATCTTTCTCTCCCTTCCTTTTTCCCTAAAAAATTAATAAAAACATATTAAAAATGTTGGAAACATGAAATGCGTAAAGATCAAAGTAAAAAATGTTGCAGACGGGGCAGAGTGATTTCCTTAAGATTTTATCATGACTTGGTTTTATGTTTGCTCAACTTTACCTCATGCCGAGTCTTGTTTCTTAGAAGTGGACTCAGTAGGAGGAGTTTCAGGGAAGCCAGTTGAGCTACGGTATATGATGATGTGGTATATGATGTTGAGACTCTCAGCAATTATTGCCCAGCTCAGCATAATATTATGTAGGCTGTGTTCGAGGGAAAGGGCACTTCAAGCAAACAGCAGTGGCTAGTAGATGTTTGTAAGCTGCCATATCAAAGGAGGCACAGAAGCCAGAGGTCAAAATTTTAGCTTTATTTTTTACTTAGTGTGGTGAAATAGTGGCCCTACTACAACGTGAGATCTAGCAGTAAAAACTAAAAGATGCTATGTGTGTACACGTGTGAATACACACACTCGTCCAGTTTGGGAACAAGTCAGGGTTTGAAAGTGGAGTTGAATGCACAAAATGCACATCTCTCCATCTCGCAGGGAGCTTTCGATGCATGTTCACCCCCTGGGGACCTTTGTTCTAAAGAATAATGTATTTAATATTCGGCTGATAGAAAAATGGAGAGGTCCCCATTCAGGAAGGTCTGTCGCCAAGGCTGTTGGTGATCACTTTTAAGAAAATTCTATCTATATATCAGATGTTTTTATTGTCCACTGATTTGTGAAATAAATTTTTTTAGAGAGACGAAGAGAGAGAGAGAAACATTGATTGGTTGCCTCTTGCATGCACCCTGACTGGGGCTCAAACCCACAACCTTTTGGTGTGCCACGCTCCAAACAACTGAGCCACACCAGCCAGGGCTGAAATAAAAACATTTAATGGATTTTTTGATTTATAGATGGCTGGCTGCTCTGTTATTGGGAACTAGAGATTCCTTTTAAGAATGTGTATGGGTATTGCGTCATTTTTCTGGACTTTTGATATTTAAGGTTAATTTTAAGCACATAGGGGAGAACATATATAACTGAAATTATTCCAGAAAGTGCATCATGATTTATTTTTGAGAACAGTAGACACCATGAATAAGGCTTATAACACGACTAAGCTCCTCAACATTAGCTTCTGAGGGGCAAGTTGTCAGCCCAGCGGCTCAGAGAGATGGGACCAACATCATCCTGTGCTCACCACCCTGGGATGGAGGGCGCTGTGGTCCCTCTGACCTTCCTTTCCAGGAAGTCACTAGTTGGATAGAAGAAGTTAAGATTTTCTTTTATTTTTGATACTAATATAAAAACTTAAAAGCATATTATAAATTTAATTTTATTACTTTCTTGACCTTATTGGATTTTAACTTGTATTTTTGTTTTTAGTTTTATGCTTTTCTAAGAACTATAATGAAAATATAAGTTGTTTTATATTTTTAGATATTCAATTGTAATGCAAATATTCTCTGGGTGGGTAAGAATAGTTTACTTTTAAAATAGTACGTATATAAGTTGAGTTTGGCAACGTCTGATCTGTGCCTGTGTTTTGAGAGTTGAGATATTCATGGAGGTGATTTCTCAATTCAGGATTTTACTTCTCTTTCATTCCTTATGAAAGATACAAATAGGTTAAAACAATAAAGTTCTAATCAATGACAGGAAACCAAAGAAGTTTGTACTCTATTATAATGAGAATAGTTTTCTTAGGTTCCTTACAGATTAACCTAAAATCAATTTCAGGAGAGTTTCATAAATGATGAAATAGTAAAAGAATTTGTACACATACACACATCACATACACACCTAGCCAGCTAGATGATTGAGATTTGGTGTGAATTTCCTGTCCAAGGAAAAAGGCCTCATAATTGAGCAACATATTTAGGTAAAGTATAGTATTTAAATCATCATTTTAGTTAATTTTAAACATTTGCTAAAGGCACTAAAATATTTTGATTTCTGGATTTACATGGCGTATACTTTTATTAAGATCACCCTGTTTTTTCTAAGCATATCCATCTCATTAGTTTTCATATCTGGAGACCCATGTACCCTGCCCATTCCCCATTTCTGATGAGCCCATGCATGCCCAGTAGCTAGGATTGTGCCCAGTGTGTAAGCAGAACTAAATCAATTCTAGCCATTGTTTTTATTTTATCTTATTTATTTATTTTTAATGTTTTTATTGATTTTTTTAGAGAGGAAGGGAGAGAGAGAGAGAAGCATCAATGTGAGAGAAAAACATCAATTGGCTGCCTCCTGCCTGCCCCCTACGGGTGATCGAGGCTGTTGTAACCAGGACATGTGCCCTGACTGGGAATCGAACCAGGACGTCTCAGTCCATGGGACGATGCTCAATCCACTGAGCCATACCAGCTGGCTATTGTTTTTACTTTTCTTTTATTTTAATCCTCACCTGAGGTTATTTTTCCATTTATCATCAGATAGAGTGTGTGGGAGGGAGAGAGAGAGAAACATGGACATGAGAGAGACACATAGACTGATTGCCTCCCATACGACACCAACCAGGGCCAGATGAACTGCAACTGAGGTACATGTCCTTGACTGGATTTGAACCCGAGACTGATTGGTCTGTGGGCCAACACTCTAACTGCTGAGCCAAACAACAACCAGGGCCATTGTTTTTACTTTTAATATAAACTTAGATTCTTATGAAAGTAAACAGAAGAGCAAATATAAATAGGGAAATATGCCATTTTCCCCAAGATTCTCCTGTTTGAGTTTCACAAAAGGAAAGATCACAGAAGTCAGAAGTTCTAGCCCCCATCTCTGAAACCTCTCCTGTAGGGTCTTTCCAGACTGTGTGTCAACACTGAATGGCAGAAAACCCATCTCATCTGTCAAACCGTTCGAGGCCCATACATTTCTAATTGCCTGTCATTGGTCATCATTGGGAGTATGGCTCCCAGAAAAGTTTACCAGTTGGCCCTTATTTTGCCTTGGGCAACCTGAGAGAATGTGTTCTTCATGCATCAGCCCTTCGATTATCTGAAGAGAAAAACCATTGAGACTTAAGTACACTGAACCATTTCTCACACCCGAGGGTTTGAGGGTCATGTCATCCTGATTGCCTTTCCTGTCCCGGTTGTCAGCCTCCCTTTTAAGTAGAGATGTTGTCCGGAAGTGGACGCACTGTCCAGAAGGTGGTCTGACCGTGCAAGAGTGGCAAGGTTCATGTGTTCTACGTTTATTTTTCTTAATACAACTTTAGATTGCACTTAGATTCTGGGAACTTTTGTATCAGGAAATAAAGGTGATTTAAAAATAAAACACTGCTTCGCTTATTAAATGTTGGAGTGTCTTTATCTTAATTGATTGTTGCATGGGATGAACTGATATGGCTTTGGACATGTTATTTCCCTCAATGCTTCATCATGGAATACGCTGTCTGTGGCTCCTGGCAAAGGGAGAATCCAGTCTGTCCCTCTGGCCCATGTGGTCCTGAGCATGGCGAGCCCTCAGGGAAAGCAGTGTCCTCCCCCCTCCATTCCAGGTCATCCCGCTCTTCCTACGTGGATGAGGACTGTGACTCGCTCGCGCTCTGTGACCCCATGCAGAGGGTGAACTGTGACGTGGACAGCCTGCCCGAGAGCTGCTTCGACAGTGGCTTGTCCACCCTGAGAGATTCCAACGAGTACGACTCGGAAGTGGAATACAAACACCAGAGAGCATTCGAGGGGCCGCGCGGCACGCAGGAGAGCTTTGCGGGCGATGCTTCAGACACAGACGTAAGCCCCCGCGTCACTGCTCCCCTGAGTCTCCTCTCTGATGGAGAGTGGCCACCCTGTTTGACTTTGATCTGTCATGAGAATCCATTTTAAAGGTTATAACTATAAACTTAGGCAGAATGTTGCTGTTTTTCCTCCACCAAATTAAGGAGACTTTCTCATAGATCGCCGTTTGGGGCCACTCCATTTCATAACAGCAGTGACTGGAGATTCAGCCGTATCTTTTTCTTCTCTTTAATCTATGATGTGTGTGTGTGCTGAGAGGCTTTGTTTTTTAACAGTGAACTTCTTTTTTTAAAAAAACAGGTTCCTGATATAAGGGACGAGGAGACGTACAGTTCGGAAGGCATGGCTTCCGTCTTGGACTGGAAGCCCCAGGGGTCTGTCAGTGACGGCAGCGTGGTCAGTTTTCCAAGAAAGCCCATCTTGGCACTTTCACCCCAGGTAGGTAGTTTCTGAGACACCTGTTCCTGAACACAGACACTCTTCTGTGCCTTGTCACTTATCGGGAAGGAAGCTGGCACTGCCTCTATCACCCACTGCGTCTCTTCCCCCAGACAGACACGGTGGACGATAACACCTCTTCCAGCTCCCAGAAGGCCTACAAGATTGTGCTCGCGGGGGACGCTGCCGTGGGCAAGTCTAGTTTCCTCATGAGACTTTGCAAGAATGAATTTCGAGGAAATACAAGTGCCACCCTGGGTATGGTTCCTTTTTCAGATATAAATGGGGAAATGACCTTCTTTAGCTTGGTTTTCTTTTCTTTGGGGATTATGCATAGATACACAGATCAGTCTCTTTCTTTTTCTGTGTATGTATCTGTAGATATATATAGATATAGGTGTGTGTGTGTGTCCTTGTCTGTAGAACGTCCCTCTTCTGTTTCGCCGAAGGCCTGGCTCTAGGGAAGGAAGACTGACAAAGGACAGAGGTATCTACTTAGCCAGTCGGATGAGCTAACCCGCGCTCAGAGCCTGAGATGACAGGCTCACTTACTCAGCACGCATTTCCAGAGGCTACTGTGAGTCAGTGGCTGTGGTAGGCGCTGAGGGTACACAGTGAACAGAATTGACTGCATCCCTGCCCACAGGGAACTTACATTCCAAAGGAGGGAAATGGATGAAGACAAATTAAAAAAAAAAGGGTTCGGGGAGAGTGCACTTTTACACAGGGCGGTCAGGGAAAGCTTTTCTGGTAAGATGTCATTTGATGTTGGTAAAATGACATTGTTAATGGATAGTTTGTCACTGTGGTCAAAATCGTAGCCAGATGTGTGTACCCTCCCCCCTTCACAGTGGAGTACTGTCCCTAAGAACAAGGAAAGAAACAGTGTCCCCATTTCCCAAATTTACATAATAATCAGTAAAAGGAGTTGAAGATATGCAAATTATCATTTATTTTCTTTATCTAAATTGTTCTTATTTTGATAACCAGAAATGTTAGGAAAGATTGATTACCCTCTTCACAGTGGCCATCTTTATAAATTTATGGTTCTTTATTAAACTGTTCAAGATAACAAAGCTGAAAGTTCACTTCAATATGATTCATAAAAAGACTACAGGATCTGGTTTAGTTGCTAGAGAGCATGGCATTTATACCTATCATATACATGCTCACATATACGTACATATATACATATATACACACATGCACACCCACACACATTGATGTACATGCGTGCACATGCAGAGATTTAATTGAGTTCATCTAATTGCATGGGCACATAGAACGTAGGTTTTCCCTTTGTCCATAGACTAAATCTTTCCCCAGGTCAGCCAGCCTGAAGACGGTCATCTGCGTGCACCTGAGTGGTCTGACTTATAATTAGCATGTGAAGGTCATTCTCCATGAAGGCCATGTTCATTTTTTTCTACCTTGCTAGCTCTTTGGCTTATTGGCTTCTGTCTCAATTAAAGAGAACTTGAAAGTAAAAACCAGTGGAATTATTTACATCAGGTTCTCATACATTCCTTTTCAGGGGTTGATTTTCAGATGAAGACTCTCATTGTAGATGGAGAGCGCACGGTTCTGCAGCTCTGGGACACGGCCGGCCAGGAGAGGCAAGTGCTTTCTGCAAAGCCCCGGGCTCTGCTTCGGCCTGTGTTGACACGCTTCGTAGCACACGCACTGTTTTTGATGCTTATAATTACAATATGCCATATAGTTATATGGTACATTCGAATTTCAAGAATGCTCTCTTTTCCACTGCCTTACCTCCTTCACCTATTTATCAGCTGTGTGAGAAAAAAAGGATCTTAAACTTCCACTGAGCTCATGCTCAGGAAAAAGAGAGTGCCCTTTCCTAACGAGAGTTTAGGTGAGAAAGCACCTCTGCGTGCAGTGATAGTGTGAGGAGCTACTAACAGGCACAAGAGAAGAGAGGACCTTTCAGCTCCCCTTGGGTCAAGGGCAGAGGCACAGACTAAATAGCAGACTCGCCTCTGGTGACAGTACCTAATCCTGCATGTATTGCCAATGACCAGAAGTGGTAACTGTAGGTTTTAGTACTGTCCAACTCTTTGGGAGCAGAACCTATCCAGTTCAGCAAGTAAGTGTGGGGCGCCTACCTACCCTGCACCGGGCACCGTTTAGGCTGCTAAGATTCATCAAGAAGGCTTTTCAGTCGGACACAAATAGCTGCCCACATGGAGCTCATATTCTCTAGAAGACTGAGAGCTTCCGCATTTAAAAAATACTTGTGGCCCTGGCCGGGTGCGCAGTGGTTAGAGCGTCAGCCCTCAGACCAAAGAGTCTTGATTCCAGTCAAGGGCACTTACCTCAGTTGTGGATGGGTCCCTGGCCCTGGTTGGGGTCGTGCAGGAGGTAACCAATCGATGTGTCCCTCTCACATTGATATTTCTGATCTCTCTCTCCCTCCCTCCTTCCCACTCCGTGGCAAAAAAAAATACCCTCCAGTGAGGATTGAAAAAACAAGCCTGGCCAGTGTGGTTCAGTGGTTGAGCATCGACCCATGAACCAAGAGGTCACCAGTTCAATTCCCAGTCAGGGCACATGCCCAGGTTGTGGGCCTGATCCCCAGTGGGGGGCATGCAGGAAGCAAGCAGCCAATCGATGTTCTCTCTCATTGATGTTTCTATCTCTCTCTCCCTCTCACTTCCTCTCTCTCTAAAATCAATAAAGGAAAAAAAATGTTTAAAAACCAAACAAAACTTGTGGCTGGCATGGCCCTATTAAGACACAATAAAATATTGCACTTGGTTTAGACGAAGATATATGTTGCAGTATGTGCTTCTCCAGTGATCCCCTCACCCCTGTGAATGGAAGCGTGTGGTGCACTGTGGCATTCCACACTGTTCTACCCGACCCACGCCCGGAGACCATCGTTCTCGGACCTGCAGCTCCTCCCACCTTCCTTGTGTCCTGCCTGCGGGTTTGGGTAGCTTCTTGCCGAGGCTGGAATTTTCAGAAATTACGCTCTCAGCCTCGTCCTGGTTGTTTTGGGATCTGTAAACATTCTTGAGATTATTTAGTGGAGAAAATGATTGGCTTTTTAAAAGCCAGTAGCCCAGATCCTCGTCCTGTTACCTTCCACGGGTTACTCTAGGCCCCGGAGACGCTGTCTCACAGAGAGACGCCGCCATCAGACTTTTCTCGACTGGGGCCTATTCGAGCAGAGGAGAAAAAAGCACAAAACGACGAGGAAGCAGGTGGCGCCACATGGAGGGTGAGAGCCCTGACGGACCTGCGTCTCATTTTCAGATTCAGGAGCATCGCCAAGTCCTACTTCAGGAGAGCAGATGGCGTTTTGCTGCTGTACGATGTCACCAGTGAGAAGAGCTTCCTCAATGTCCGAGAGTGGGTAGATATGATCGAGGTGAGCAATCCCGGCAGAGAGGTGGGAAGGCGACCGGGCAGCGGTGGCCGTCTTGGAAACGCTGGTTCTCTTCGTGGTCGAAGGGAGTGTGATGAGAGCCCACTGGGCCGTGCTGGGTGTCACCAAGGACCGATGTCAGAGGCAGAGTTCCCGGTGGCACTCAGCAGGACTGGTCTCTCTCAGGAGCTGGGCACGTTCTCACGTAGTCAAGGACGGGAATAGAGGGAGCTTCTGGGGATGAAACGCCTGGGTTTTCTTACAAGTAAAATCAGAACCACATGGGAAGGGAGTGGGAGGGCAGGTCACCTGCGAAGGGGCAGCTTTGCCAAGCGAGGCCTCTGGGGCTGGGTGTGCACAGGGCCTTCCATGTGCGCTAGATGTACAGGTGAAAGACCACCTGGTGTGAGGCCCACATTCTGTAGCTACTGTGTTCTCAGCCTCTGGCAGTGATTTGGGTCTTTGCACATTCCGAGGTACCACTGAAAAACCAGTTGTTATTTTAAATGTGTATAGGAACTGTCTGTGCTTTCTTCTGATTAGATGAGATAGTGTCTTTCATCTGAGGATCTTCAGATCCTTTGGGTTCATGGTCCATAATTTTTAAAAGTAGGACATGATTTGACCACAGTTGGAGTACTGCCAGCAGTTACTAAGCAACAGAAAACTACAGCTGGAGCTGAGGCTGAGTGTCCTCTCTTGGGGAAAAACTTGAAACTGGTGGTCAGAACAAGTTTTCAAGTAGGTATATTTTCTATAATATTTTTTAATCCTCACCCAATGATATTTTTCTATTTATCTTCAGATAGAGTGGGAGGGGAGGGAGAGAGAGGCATCACTGTGAGAGAGACACATCAACTGGTAACCGCCTCTTGCATGACCTGACCAGGGCCAGGGACCGAACTGCAACCGAAGTACATGCCCTTGACTGGAATTGAACCCGAGACTCTTTGGTCCACAGAATGACACTCATACAGCTAACCCAAAAAGGCCAGGGCTATTACCTATAATTTTTAACAGACATTAAGTGCAAGGGTAGCTTAACAGAACTTATTACTGTCTGGATTCTTCCATTGGGCCTATTTCATACCCTTTATATATATAAAAAAAGAAACAGAATTAATTTTTGCTTTCCAACTAAAGAAGTGATGTGAGAAGTGACGTTGTAATTGGCGATAAAACTTAGTGATAAAATAAATGTGCATTTTGTCCTACTGAAGTATCGTGACTTACAATGACAAATACAGCAAAGTTGTGTTGACATTTATATAATATTTTCATTTTATAACATTGTCCACATTATAGTCATCTCTGTGACATATGTGGGAAAGGAAGAAATGTCATGTTATCTTCACTATGAGACACCCGAGGCGTAGAAAGCCTGTGCGAATGGCTTCTTATTTAGAGGTTAGGGTTGGAACAGGGCCTACAGTTGGACCCCCTGTTTCAATATGGTTGCCCCCTAGATCAAGCATCAGAGTGAACGGCAGAGTGAGAAGAGGCTTTCGGGGTTAAGAAAGGAATTCCGAGGAACAGTCAGGCATCAAGGAGAAGCATCTAGTCCAGGGAGCCAGTGGTCCTTGGGACAGAGCTATGAGCCCAGAGAATAATGGATAACGCCAACTAACTCATACACCCGAGTGCCTATAATGACAGCAGAACTTTTTACTCTTGAAACTGCTGGGTGTAGTTTTCATGTTAAGCCTTTGGGTTACTCTGAAGAAAAGGCAGCATGTAGGACGGGGCGGGCCCCAGTGCTGAGGGCCCGTGGTGGCCGGCTGCGTGCGTGCCAGGAGCCCGCTGCCGTAGTTTGCTGAGCAACCTGCACAGGGCAAGTGACCATTTCAGCTGTTGGTAGCACCGTTCACAGGGTCTGAAGAGTAAGAAACTGTATTCGAGATGAATTACTGAATTTGTTATAGAGGAAAGATTGGAGACCACTCGGCATTTAGAAAAATAATGGGCACAATGAACCTCTGCCGTGGCGCTCTCTCTCCAATCTGAGGACATTCTGTGGGGACAGTTAATATGGCCACTCTGTACATGGGTAGAAACTAATCGTGTGATCGTTAGGCTGGGCCGGAGAACTGAGAAGAAGTAGAATATCAGTGGAGAGTGGACCCTCTGAATTAACAATGATTTCATTTTGACTGTGAAGCACTAGCTTACAAAATCTTGTAATAATATCATGGATAAAATAAAATTATGCCCATCTATTTATCTGTCATGAATAATTTATTGATTGAACATTTGGGTAAAAGTTCAGTAGAGACACTTGAAACATGAGATTGAATTGTGACTCTTTCACCTTCAAAATGTTTTTGGGATTACCTCCTCTCTGCAGGTGCTGGTCAGTCCCGGGAATATATCTGTTACTAAAGAGCCGATCCTTGTGGACATCACAAGAAACAAACATTCATGAATAAAATAAATAGAATGATGGACAGTGATAATGTTACAGTCGCAAAAAGAGGGCAGGGTGAAGGGCCCTATGGGCAGGTGGTGGGGTGCAGTTTGCATTAGTGGCCCTGGCCTCCTGAGAAGGTGCTGTTGGAGTCAAGACTTGAAGGAGGTATTTACCTGTGTGACTTTGGGATGTCATGTAGATACTGGGATTCTTGGCTTACTTAAGAGATTATTTGGTTAATGGCTTCCAAGTGACATCCCTTGGATCCTGAGCAGGTAGTCAGGGAGCACGGTTGTCAAGGACACAGGAATGGGTGGGTGGGGTAGGCTTGGAGAAGGACATTTCATTCTCTTCTCTGCACTTAGCACACTCGGGGCCTTCAGTTAGAGGAAGGTGGTGTGAAGAGAAGGGAATTCAGATATAACTTCACTGTTTTTAAGGCTTATCTCTTGGTCTTGCATTGGGTACGGCACCAAGCTGAATGAGTACCCGGGGTCCTTAGGCAAAGAGTCATGTCACGGGGCTCAGCCAGGGCTGCTGCTTCTCTCGTTGAGGAACCAGAAGCCCAATTTTCTGTGCGAGGCAGGGTAGAGTCTCTTATTCTCTTCGTAGGCTGATGAGCTGGGATGTACCTTTTACTAACTCCTTCATTTTATACACAGGGATATTGAGGCAAAATCATGAATAGAGTTGCCAGATTTCACACAGCCAGAGAGTAGAAAGGAGGTTGGGTGGGGCGGTCACATCTCACGCCCGCCCAGCTGCACGGAGAACGTGGAACAGTGGGACAGCGGGACAGTTTGCGTGTGCTGTTGCGGAAGCGCCATCCCGAGAAGCTGTGACTTTGAACAGCGTGGTGATCAGCTCCTCGCAGGAGAATGTGGACTTCGAGGGCCTTCTCCCCAGCTCGTGTTGTGAAGCAGACGGCGGAGAGTGTGGGACTTGCAAACTCCGTTTTAGTCCTGTGACGACTGAGGGATTACTTGTGTTTTGTATCTGGGATCATGCAGTTGTTGTCACTGTTGTTCAGGGTAAAATTGTAGGGAATGGTGTGTGCACCACCATCAGATATAATTCTGAATTCAAGCTTCTCAAGTCTCAATTGGTTTGTACAGTGGGAAGGGGGATGCAGTCAATTTAAACCCTGGCCTGGGCTTTTCCAAGTTTCTGTTTAAAGTCTTTGAATGGCCTGGCCAGTGTGGCTCAATGGATTGAGCATCATCCTATGGACTGAGCAGTCCTGGTTCAATTCCTGGTCAGGGCACATGCCGGGCTTGCGGGCTCCATCCCCAGTAGGGGGCGTGCAGGAGGCGGCCGATGGATGTTTCTCTCTCACATCGATGTTTCTATCTCTCTCTCCCTCCTTCTCTCTCTAAAAAAATCAACAAAAACATATTAAAATATAAAATCTTTGAATGTCAGTGTTCTCACCTGGCAACAGGAAAACATTTGGTTCTTCTTGAGATTTTGAGGTTTAAAGTTAGTATCAATACACCGTGGCACACCAGGTCATTTGGACGTGGTGGCTGCTGTCGTCCCTGCCGTAACCTGTGCAGTGTTTGATGGATGCACGTTTTCTTCTTTTCCCGTGGCAGGATGCAGCCAACGAGAGTATTCCCATCATGCTGGTAGGAAACAAGGCCGATCTGCGGGATGCTGCGGCTGCAGAGGGGGAGAAGTGTGTCGCAGCATACTTCGGGGAGAAGCTGGCCATGGTAAGCGTGAGAGAGCATCGGGTTGGAAGAGGCCTTTCGCTTTGTCTGCCTTTGCTTGAGAGGTGCTTTGACGAGCCTCCACCTCGTTTGATGGGGCTTCTGTCCTCATACAGGCAGAACTCCCAGTATCCCCCCACTTTATGAATATAAGTCATTGCGCCAAGGATTAAATACCTCATAGAGGTAAGTCGATCACTCGATCCTTTCCTCCCACTGAGTATCGTTGACAAAGAGGAACCAGCATGATCACATCTTCCTCCTCACTCTCAGCAGTTCCTGGAATCCTCCTCTAGTCCTGGGATCCAGGCAAAGGAAGAAGAATGGGTGTCCTGTTTTCAAAAGATGGGTTTGCTTCCAGAGGGTTACTATGCCAAGGGGCAGAAGATGGTGCAATGTGTCACCTGGTTAGAAGAGAATAGGAAGGCATTTTTTTCCCTATAAGATCTGTGTTTAGTTTCAATAGTCTAAAATTGTTTTTGGTTTTGCATTTGTGCAGAGGATGGAACTCACGTCTGTCCAGATGATTACTGTGGGCCATGTTTCTCCTCTTGTTATCATCATGGTGTCAGTGGTTCATGGCCCCCTCACGGTGGTCCTAGCCTACAAGGGATCGGGCACCTTGGGCAGATACGAAGGTCATGCCGTAGCAGTCTGATGTGACATTGCTGTCGTTGTCTGTCATCAGCACCGTGAGAGGAATTCTCTGTAGCATATCATGTGCACTCTAAAGAGAAGTTTGATTGTCACTATTCTAAGTGGGGAGATCTTGTTTTATGTTTTAGAAATGTGAACCAAATATGATAACTGTCAAAACAAGGTCATGAATACAGGAAAGATTCACTCAGTACAGACATGTCTGTCTCCACCATGTGACAAGCACTGCCTTATGTGCTGAGTGGTGACCAGAGGACAGAACACACGGCCCTTGTCCTTCCAGAGTTCATTATCTGGGGGAGACAGACATTAAATGCATGTAATCCCTTGTCAGACTCTGTCCCATGTGCCCCTTCAGAAATCTCGTCATTTCTGTCCCCACACCAACGCGATTCCCTCTCCACCATTTCCCAGTTTCCAAGCTTGTCTGTGCATCATCACTCATACCCTCCTGTACCCTCAAAGGCATTCTCTGTTTCACCCCGAAGCATTATCACTGTAGAACTCAGCAGCGGCAGCAGCACTACCCATTGCTACTAGAAATCCGTTCATTTTGTGATTTTTAATAGAATTTTCTATGGACTGGGGGGCTTGTACGCAAAGGTCCCACAGTGGAGTTCCTCCAGTGTTTGATCCCTCTCTCTTTTACCTAAGATCCAAAGGTAGGTAGGAGTCGGCCAGCAGAGGGGGTTGATGGGGGTAAGGGATAACCTAGGTAATGGGAACAGCAGGTGCAAAGGTCCTGAGATGGGAGGGAATTTGGAGAATTGTGGACGGAGAGAGAAGGTGAGGGTAACTGGAGCATTGTGAGTGAGAGAGAATGTCCGAGAAGACTGGCAGGTTGGCAGGGCCACGTACAGGCTAGGTCTTGTCAGCCGCTGGAGAGCATTGGAACGTTACTTGAATGTTACTAGAAGGGTGTGAAGCCAGAGCGTGAAATGATCAGTGATCATACCCATAACCACTGGAACGAAGAATAATTAATAGAGGACTAGAGAATGTCCGTTGGCCTTAGCAACATGCCGCTGCTGGATCTTGGTAGGAAAGGATAGCCTGAGAGGGGATGTTAGCTGCTGGCCAAAAGACGACATACTTTGGATGGCTTGTAATTCCTGAGTGTGAGGTTACCTTAAGCTATCATTCTCTCTCTCTCCAAGGACTTGATAGTGCACATTGGGTAGCACGTGTGTCACTATCGGAAATAAGTACCTTAGAACATGAAATTTTGTAATGTAGGTGGTGGTTTTTTTTAAACAAACTAAAATCTACCCTGTCTGGGAACTGTTTCTTGAATAATGAGGCTCCAGTTAGTCATTTTCTTTTTAATTATTGAAACGCGGAATCCAGGTTCTTAGCTGCTAGCCACTCTCAGTGTGCTCAACAGGAAAATATTTTACTGTATTGATCGATTTATAGGCTAAAATGTCAGGAAACTTAAACACAGGCTGTTTTTTTTTTTTTCTTTATTGATTTTAGAGAGAGGAAAGGAGAGGTAGAGAAAGAGAAACATCAGTTGGCTGCCTCCTGCATGCCTCCCCACTGGGGATCGGGCCCCCAACCTGGGCATGTGCCCTGACCGGGAATCAAACCAGAGACCTCTTGGTGCAGGGGGTCAATGCTCAACCACTGAGCCACACCAGCCGGGCAACACAGGCTTTGTTTAATGGTGTCTATTTCTTTGCCGTAGACCTATGGGGCGTTGTTCTGCGAAACAAGTGCCAAAGACGGTTCGAATGTCGTGGAAGCTGTTCTGCATCTTGCCCGGTAAAGTTTTGTCTCTTATTTGGAAAACTGAATGTAGGATTGAATTTTCATTTAGTTGGTGCACGTGTCAAACTTTACCACCATAGCATGGCTCTACATGGGAAACACTGTCTTCTCATTCAGTAGTAGTGAGAGAAAAAATTGAACATCGATGTTATCAGAACTGGTAATGCTGCAAGTTGACTATGGACATTGGCAAGGTACCGTTCCTGCCAAACAGAGCAGGTGCATCTGAGGTGTCGTTGGCATTTCTGCAGAGTGCCACCACAAAGCTAGTAGTCACTTGTCTGAAGCATTTCCAGGAACCAGATTTTAAACACAAGAGACTATTATGAATATAAGTATTATGACATTTTCCAGGGTAAAGGAAAGAAAACCTCAATAAAACAAAGTGTGTGTCATGCCAGTTGGAAGCACTTTCTTAAATTTATTATACAGGTAATTATTATGTGAAGGCAGTGGTGTTAATAACAACATTTTGGAATGTAGATTAGAATGTTGCATTATTGAGGAACTTGGATATAAAGGTGTGTTTTAATCCTGAGAGTATTCTTAGGAAATAACAGCATTGTCTGTTATATTTATCTCTTTTGCCTACGTTTCTGCCATAAGTGGAAAAAAAAAGATTCTTTACAGGCCTAAAGGGATTAAATATCACATACAAAAAATATATATATATATATATATATAAATGTGTGTTAACAAAATCCAGGTCAATGATCTTTAATTGCTGACAAAGCCCAAGCATAAGGTAGATCACTTGTGAGGTTTTACAGGAATCTTAACTTCTATATGATAATTGGCTTCTTCTGCTAGTATACATTGACAGTTAAAATACTCTCGGTGTTCTAAATGGTGCTTTTGTATTTATGACTTGATGTTTATAGTGCTTAGTAGAATAGAACCCTATTACGAGAAGGCATGGGCTGGGGCCCTGGAGAGCCTGGGGCCCTGGAGAGCCTGGGGCCTGAGAGAATCAGGAAACAGGCCCCAGGACCTTAAATGGCCTGCTTAGCATTAGTTTGTGGCAGGGCCTGGTAGATTCCTTGAGCTTGGACTCAGAGTCTTTGAACATTATCTCCTTTGACATCAATCCCACCACACTGGACGTCATTTTTGTTTAAAGCAAAACAGTGCTAACTTTGAGTATGACCTAGAACAGGTAGAAAAAAGGCAAACAAACATGTAAACATATAAGTTTAAGTGAATTACATGTTTTTTTGCTTGTGATTAGTAGGGTAATCATGGGCTAATACCACATTTGTCAAGAGCCAAAATAAAACCTTCATAAATTAGGTAAAATAATGGATTCCTTGTACCTTTGGGTACACAGCCATTTCAGACAAGGTGCATTCAGTAAATGGGGTGGGGAGAGTCCATGAAGTGGACTGAAGATGGTCTACTCGCTGAATTGGGAAGTGTTTTCCTTTTTTCCAGAGGCTGTATTAAGAGTTTCATTAAAATGTCCATGAGGGTCCCAGGGGGAGACGATGTGCCCATGGAGGCAGATGGGTGTGGGGAGGGCCTGCAGGTCTTTACAACACAGTTGGGCCCAAGGCTGGACCAGGCTCATTGATACTGTAGCCTTAGGCAGTGCGGTGCTGAATGGCTCCTCTGTCCTAGCAAGAAAGGATGCTCCTGAGCAGGCCCTCTGCATGGCTGTTGGCTGATGCTCAGAGCGTTGGAGGATTTGGGTGTCAAGAGCCTCCAAGTCCAGCCTTCAGGCTACCCCTGAACAGCTATGAAGTCGTGAACAGGTCGCTGTCTCCTGTAGGCATCTCTAGTCTGTAAGATGAGGGTGGGGGCTGAAGCAAAGGATCTCTCAGGCCCTTTCTAGTTCTGATTCTATAGACAGCAACCTATGTACTCCATGGAATAATAGAGTCTCCATTTAATGCTGGAGTGTCTCGTAGGGTCCCATTAAAGTTAAATGATCCAAATTGCCGTGGTCACACCCAGAGTGCAGAATTGATTTCCTTTATGGTGTCATAAAGACGGGAGAGGCTGCCAGCTGGCTGTCCCCATTCGCTCCTGCAGCTGTTTATGGTGCAGCTTCCACTCAGACCTGGGTTGACTGGCGTCACCAGCGCTTCGGCAACGGGGGTGCTTCTTGTGAACCACTCACCACGGAGTGTTTCTTAATTTTTATTCTTATGCATTATGGCCTGGTTTGAGGTCTCTAATTTAGTTATTAGTGGTGTATTAAGTATGAAAATTATCAAGAAGTAAAAACTATAATTTGTTTCATACCCTGCCTTCAGCTTTGCAAGTCAAAGGACCCAAGTCTTAAATGGTAGTGGTATAGTCTGCACAGGTTAAATGAACAAGTAAGGTTTTACAGCCTTTAGAATGTTGTGCAGAATGCGAAACACGCTGAGTTTTCGATTTACATCCCATGAGACAGTTCCCAGCACTGTCCCTTCCATGGCGTTCCAGGTCATGAGACTTGAACTGGAAGGGTTTCTGCATTGGCACTGTCCGAGGATTCTCTGAAGGGAGGCCACCAACGTGTGGTCAACAACCTGAGCTACTCTGCGTGTTCTCAGAAAACCTCTCCATCCCGGGAAAAGTTTGTCTTAGAAATGCAGTTTCGCAATTTCCCTGGAGTGCTGATAGGATTGTCCATTGGCAAAAACATTTGCCATTGACAGAACCACAGGCTTTAAATGCTGTTCAGTTTATTCAAATGCCACAGGCATTCAATTGACCGGTGACTGGAAACACAGGAGGCTCAGGCTGATGTATCTGTTCAGCGCAGTTGCTGAGCCCACTGGGTGTAAATCTGTTTCTGAAATCGAATCATTTAAAATGCAGTTGTTAAGTCTATGGTAGTTTTTGGTGAGGCATTTTAATTTTCCCTGCGTTAAGCCTATTTGAGATGTTTGCAATCATATCTTTCTAGTTTTCTTGAAGTGGGGCATGCCTTTATTTTTGGTGGATTAAAGAAACTGAAGTTCAGATGAACTGTTTGCTTTCAGGTTGAGTAAGCACTCAGCATCTGAAAGCCCCATACATGGTTCAGTAGAGACGTCCAGGGGAAAAGACAGGCTGTGCAATTAACATTAGAGGAAAAACAGAAAAGATATGACCAGGCAGCCATGTGACATGTAGCCATTAGAGGCCATTGGACGTCCCAGAAAGGAGAGATGTGAGTTGTCTCGTGAGGATGCTAGGGTTATTTTACCCATTGTACAGATAAGAAAATTCAGAATTAGAACGCTAATCTTCCTCACAGTGACACAGCTACTAAGTGGCACAGTTGGGACTTTTCATGACTAATCTGAATCACTGGATATAAAGTCGTCATTGCTTTTGTGAATGTCAGCAAGTATCAGCCAGGGATGGAAGCCAGGTCCAGGGTGTTAAGGAGTAGGCTGTGTGTGTGGCAGACTATAAAGTATATAAACCCACAGGAGAGAGTGAGAGAAGTCTGTGGGTGCATGTGTGTGTATACGTGTTATCTGTACGTGCGTGCATGTTTGTGTGATCTACATGTGCATGTGTGGTCTGTGTGTGCGTGTGTGTGTGCAAGTGTGGTCTGTGCATGCAAGTGTGGTCTGTGCATGCATGTGTGTGTGCGTGCATATGTGGTCTGTGCATGCAGGTGCATGCATGTGTGTGTGTGCATGTGTGGTCTGTGGTCTGGTGCTCAGAATGCCGGTGCTGGAGCCGGCCTGCATATTGTGAATCCCATCTCAGTCACTTCTCCAGCTCTGTGACCTAAGGCAATGCCTCATATATGAAATGTAAAACAGGTACAACACATTCACATGGTTCTTATGAGGAGTAAATGAGCCAGTGCTTAAATGTAAGGCATTTAGACCACGTCCAGAGGGAAGTGCTGTTTTTATTTCTACAGAGCCAGTTATGGTCTAGGCTTGTACCTCAGCAATGCCCTCTCCCTCTCCCTCTCCCTTTACCTGCCTCTTCCTCTCTCCCTCTCTCCAGGGAAGTGAAAAAAAGAACTGATGAGGATGACAGCAAATCCATTACCAACCTGACGGGAAGCAGCTCCAAACAGTCATCCCACATGAAGAACTGTTGCAAGGGTTAAACCCCAACCCCTGGCCCGGGAAGTCTTCATTTCTAGAGCACAGAACTTGTGGGACTTGTCTGCTTCTTACGTAGCTGGTGCGGTACGGACAGAGCTGCGGAGAGCTGCAGCGGGGGTCCGACTGTGCTCTCGGTCCCTCCGGGCCCTCGGCTGACCTCTCCGGCCCTTCCAGTTCCGACATGATTCTGTAGACGACAGCCTGTACCCCACTGAGTAGCATAATCGCCACGGACAGTTTCCACGAACAGTTTGGACTCCCTGGTTAAATATACTTGTCCTGTCCTTACAGAGTCTTAAACCATAATGTGTACATGTTTTTTAAGTTCTCAAAAAATCACATGCTGAGATCAAAGGTGTAGAAGAAACTCATGGACATAATTCAATTCATGCGGATGCTGACATACCATTGAGGAAAAAATGGTAATTTTCAGGCTTCGGTAAGTGACAGAAAAGTATTTTTTTCTGCATAAAGAAAGAAGCATTTTTGCGGCAAAAATCGTTCTATGATAAAAGAGAGGGTATTTTATAATCTTGGAATACATGTAACGCCCATGGTTTAAATTCAGTGTTAAAAATTCTGGTAAACACACACAAAGCCACACACTCCTGGAGTCCAGTGCCCGGGAAAGGTGTCACTCTCCGCTTCACACACCAGCGGGTGGCTGCCAGGGGCTGGAGAACAGGAGGGACTCAGGGTGAGCGACCGCTAATGGGTATGTGACGTCTTTTGGGGATGATGAGAATGTTCTGGAATTATGTTGTAGAATTAATGGTTGCACAACTTTGTGAATGCACTAAAAGCCACTGAATTGTATAATTTAAAAGGGTGAATTTTACGGTATATGAATTATATCTCATTAAAAAATACATTAGTCTTTAGAAGTTTTTAACCTTTTGCCAAGTGGACATACACATGCTTATTTCAAACCTTTCCACGGTGTAAAAGCATGACCCCCAATATAGCACAAATCCCTCCCCTCACCTGCCCGCGTTCGCCTCCCTACACAATGAGCAGTGAAACAAGTGTCAGGCCGGGTTTCTGGAAGACCGTCTCTTTTTTTAAATTTATTTTTTATCCTCACCCGAGGACGTTTTTCCATTTTTTGTTCAGATAGAGTGGGAGGGAGAGAGAGGAGCATCGACGTGAAAGGGACACATCGAGTGGTCGCCACCTACATGACCCAATCAGGGTCGGGGACAAACTGCAACCGAGGTACGAACCCCAGTCTCTCTGGACCGCAGGCCGATGCTCTAACCACTGAGCAAAACTGGCCAGGGCTGGAAAATCGTCTCTTTAAAAGAGGAGGTGTGGTTAGGAGAGGAGTCACAGTCCTGCAGGGGTGGGGAACGTCTGCCCCTCGGGCTGTAGAAGGCCCTCAAAATCAGTACCAGCTAACATCACACACCTCACCAAGTCAGCCTGACCAAATACAGCAGGCTAATTCTTAAGTTGATAATTTTGTATGGCTCTCGGATGATGTTATAAACATCCAAATGGCCCTTGGCAGAAAAAAGGTTCCCCACCCCTGGCATAATGTGACTAGTGACTCATCCTCACCAAGGACCTGGTTGGCCGTGCTCTCCCTCTGGAACGTGCAATACCTCCCATATTCCCTACTGAAATGTCTGTAAGAGCCAAAGGGGTCAATGCCTGACCTAGGGTGGGTCAGTGAAGCCTGGTGTTTGGTTTTCAGCCGCCTGAATCAATTAAGTTATTCCTGGCCAGAGATCTGAGTTTACTTTGTTTCATATAGGTCCAGGCCTAAAGTAGTTTGCTGAAAAAACTTAGTCGCTGTTATATGTAAACTAAAAACATTCCTTTTTGTTGAATTAAAACAATTTGTTGTAGCAGTTTTTCTCCTGTTTGTGATGTTTTATGATCAAACCTTAAATGCCCCAAGCTTCATTGTTATTTTAATGAAAATGGACCCCGTATGTGACATTGTTTAGCTTTTGAAAGCATGCTTTCTACTGACAGCATCTAGTTCTTTCCCTGGAAAGTTGGATCTAGCCAGAGCCACTCCACATGGATTCCTGTTTCCTCTTTCAAGTTTTTTTTTTTTTTTTGGTCCCAGAAAAAAAAGTTTATGTTTCTGACTAAAAAGAATGCTTTGCTTGTGTGGCACGGTCAACTGAACGGGAGAGGGAGTGGTGGTCGTTTTGGGGTGTGGCGAGATGAATGTTCTGCACTGTCTGCCTGGGTGCTATCTGTGGAGGCTGGTTTAGCATGGACCTGACAGCTGTGTCCTACCGGACTCGTGTAGGTGCTTGGTGCAGCTGCACAAAGCTGTGCTTGTGTTACCGAGTTGCCTTTGTTTTCCACCACTGTGTCTCTCTGTGTGTCTTACAGTCTGTACATGTGAGTCCACCTTTGATACAGAAGTGTTATCTGGGCTTTTGCTTCTGAATTGTGTGGCCAGCACACCCAAAGTGATTAGAGCGCAGGGCGTCTGTGATAGGCAAAGCAGCCATCTTTAACTGTTCAAACACGGATACATGTTTTGACAACAAAATCCAAATTAGAGCCTTATAACTCTGGGTAGCAATCTTGTTTAAAGAAAAGCTAGTTAGCTCTTTTAGCTGCATTGCTAGGAAATCAAAATTATTACCAACATTTGATTTCATGAAGGTGTTCTCAAATTTATTGTTTTTTTTAGAGAGAGAGGAAGGGAGAGAGTGATAGAAACATGGGTATGAGAGTGAAACATCTATAGGCCGCCTCCTGCACGCCCCCTACTGGGGATGGAGCCCCAAACCCAAGCACGTGCCCTGACTGGGGATCAAACTGAAACCTCTCAGTCCGTGGGAGGACGCTCAATCCACTGAGCCACACTGGCCGGGCTCAAATTTAAAGTATTATTTTCATTAAGAACAAAAATACAGTCCCATGCACCGCTTAAACAGTGGGATATGTTCTGAGAAGTGCTTTGTTAGGTGATTCATTGTGACAGTACCACAGAGTGCACCTCACAAGCCTGGATGGCATAGCCCACTACACGCCTGGCGACCTGACACTGCCAGCTGTCCTCGGCCGCAGGCCTGTGCAGCGTGTCACTGCTGAACGCCGGCGGCAACCGTAACCCGATGGTAAGTGTGTGTGTATGTAAACACATCTGAAGAGAAAAGGCAGAGTGGAAGTATGGTATGAAGTGTGTGTGCCTGGGTGCACAGGCTGGGGGGCCAGGAAGGGAGGGCTGTGGAGGGAGAATAGACGTCATGAGGAGGGAGGTTAGGAAGGCAGAGAGGGAAGAAAGAGGGGGAGAGGGCCAGTAGAGGTGGTAAGAAACCCACAGAGATAAAGCTTGAGAGGAGAAATAACAAAAGGGAGAGGGCGAGAGAGGGCACTGGACCTCTAGACAGGAGGCAAGAGAAAGAGAAACAGAGGGGAGGGAAGTTGAGTTTGTGCACAGGAGAGAGCTGGGGGGGTGGGCAGGGCACACCGGCAAGTGGACAGCATGCTGAGCCTCCCTGTCTATGTGAACCACCCAGAGCCAGCGGTAAACGCAACATCCAAGTCTGTCCAGCCTTTGCTTTCAACATTGCGAACAAACTTTTTGCTTGTAATCCCTTATAATCTTATGGGACCACCATCATACTTTGGGTTTGTTCTTACGTGTGGCAAAAGACTGTATTTCATGTTTTTAACTTAGACTTAATTAGATGCATTTGCATAGTTCTATGCATGTAATTCATCTTGTGTGAATTTTGCCTTTGAGAGCTTTTTAAAATCAGTGTTGTACTATGCTCCTTGTTTATGTATCCTGACACATTGGATAGTATTTTAAGTTCATTATAGGAAAGAAAGTTGGAAAGAAGACTGTTTTACTGTTAACTTTTAGCCTCATGCATTTTCATAATTTATTTTTTCCACTTGCTGCTTTGTATGATGTGTGGCACTTGATTATTTAATACAAAACGTGATTTGCATCAACTCAAGTCGCATAGCCCTCTTGCTGAAGATAAAATTAAGGTTAAAGATAAAGATTTATTTTTATATTTGTACAGTGATTGGCTTCAGTGATCATTTTTTTTTTTTTTTGTGGGCTTTTATTGTATATGTGTGTGAGAAATTTCAAATATATGTATTGAGTAGGCTTCTGAGTATTGAGTAATTGTTTTATGATCTTGGTTTATATGGTTTACATTTTCATAGTATCAGCCATACTTCATTTGTACTGTTTTATTTCTCTTCAAACCATTAATAATTATACCATAAAGTAATTTTTATCGCCATGCAAATGTCTAAGGAACTACAAATATTTTTTGCATTGTAAATTAAATAAAGCAGGCTTCCTCTGGCCTTCGGGGTGTTCCCTTCAACTGTACTGCAGGCCTCCCTGAAGGAATTTAACTTTAGGAGGCGCCTCCATGACATTGTGCCTCTGAAACACTTGTCGTCTTGGCCTGGGCAGCTGGCCAGTGGGAGGAAAGACTGACCACACGGTGGCCGGCGCTCTGGCACAGCCAGGTCACCTTGGCCAGTGGGGCAGCAGGTCAACCAGCTTGGGGTGTGGCAGCCAAGAACAATGAGGCTTTTATAGAAAAATTTCAGGACATGCTTTGACCATCCTCATGACCTCAGGGTAATCTGTTTCTCTGACACCCATCTTTCTCCCTCTGCACCCCCACACTGTCTGGCTGACCGCTGCTCATTTAGCTTAAACATCTCTTTCTTCAGGAAATTTCACCCTCTGAACCCCCAAACTGAGATGAGGCTGCCTGCTCTCACTTGTGTAGCACCCTTTTAACTGCTCGGCATCCCTATTGCACTTATACTTACTCCGTGGACACAGGGCCCCAAGCCCTTAGCCCTGTTGTCTGCAGCAGCCTCCCGTCTGCTTCACTCGGTGCTTGAATGAGCGATCAAAGAATCGGCTCTTTAAATAAGGCAGGCTTTGCAGAGAGTTTCTGCAGACACACACACACACACACACACACACACACACGCACACACACACAGTAGTCATGGCAGTGTAAATATAAGCAGCATATTGTAGTGGCCACAGATCTGACTCTGCACCAAGCTGCCTGGGTTTGAAGCAGGACTCA